TTATTGATTTAATTATATGGAGTTGTAAATTCTATATTAAAAAATCCTTAAGAGTAATGTGCATAAATAAATAAAATTATTATGAAATATATAGTAGAATTTACCTAAAAAAAATATATATAACATCAAACTCGAGCCTATTATTTCTTGGATAGAGCTTGGCTCAGCTCATTCAGAGTTTTAGATGCTATAAATAGAGAAAAGGCAAAAGAAGTGGTGTATAAAGTTCTAGCAATACTGTCCAAAGGGCTGATAATCATGTCTTTGGGTTAATGAAAACTATATATTGGATGGCCAAAAATGGCATTCCATTGCATAAGTTTTCTAGTACAGTAAATCTTGGTATGACATTAATTCACTTTACTTTATTTCTAACTCTAACTATAATTATCTAACTATAGTTCTATTAATTATGAGGATTCTTGTTTTTTTGTCATCAAATTTTGGAATCTACATCTTTATCAATAATTTGGAGAGAATTAGATGAAACATCGTCTTTTGGGATGAAAGTACTGATATTGCTGCACAATCTCATATGATTTCATATGTAAAATATTATTACAAAGGTATTTGAAGATGAAAATAATGTGGCATGGAAATGATGAAACTTGCATATTCAGTTGTTTCAGAGCTCGAAATTCGTTTTTTCCAATTTGTCATCTATTAGATGCTATGGAAATTTTTAGTGCACTAGAATGGCCACCGAATTAGAGGTTACACACAATGAATATTATTCATTGAATATTCATTCAGTGAATATTTAATTTTTTCATTGATTACCAAATATAATAAATTAAAAGTGAATATCAACATCTCATGTAAATTGAATTGAAAATCACATGTCCAAATAAAGCGAATGTAAGTAAAGACATGGTTTAAATTAATCAGTTAATTGATTAATAACCTTAATCGGTTAATCATTTCTAAAATTAACCGGTTAACCGAATAACTCTTTCTATTCAATCTTTCCATTAACTAGACTGGAAAAATGATCGATCTCGTTTAATTAATCGGTTTATTCATTTCTAATTAATTAAAAAATTAATTATTTCTTTTCCATTCATTTAAAATGGAAGTAGAACATTCAGTTGCTATAATAGGAAAAGTGATAATACAATAATGCTGCTCATATTTTGAAGCAAAGTAAAGGGTGGTTCTAAGAAGTCAAATTGGATAATGAAAGATGATCCATTCTAATAAAAATAGGTCTCCGGTTTTGTCTAAACACTTGTGTGGACCTGAAACGTCCGCTCCGAGTGAGAGAGATTAGTTAGTCAAGCCGGAATTCAAAAAAGAACAAAATTTAATCCACTGATTTTTTCGTTTTATATTCATTCAATCAATTAAATTCAATATCCGGGTAATCATTTGGTGAATAATTAAAATATTCATTGATTATCCAATGAGTAATTAACAAAAAATTTTAAACCTATTAATTATTTTATATTCTGTCGACTTATAGTGCGAATGATGGATGATTTTGGTGAACCAATTATTCATCTTCACAATTTTATCCTAACATTGTAAAACTTTAGATATTTTTTTATCCAATCAGTTTTCAAGCGTTGAATGACAAACTTTGATTAAAACAGATAACAAATTGAATGTGTTCGTGGTGATCAGACTAGAAGGTGGCGATATTGAAACTTTTGATTTTTCAGAATCCAGATAGTAAATATATAACCGATAAAATTTTGACCAGCCAGTTTTTAACTGGAAAAATTGAAGACCAAATCTTTTTAACCTTGCAATTAATTATTGGATTAATTTCTTTCTACACGAACCAGAAACCAACAAGCAATGGAGGTGTGTGATATTTTATTCCTGTATTTCAAAATTCGGCGTAGCGAAAATTTTACATGAAAGACAAAAGAACAAAAAAATTGTACAAGGGGGCATGATTTAATGCGGGGGTCAATGAATGCTTATGTCAAAAGTTGTTTCAAAGATAGCTAATACTAAAACTAGTAATAGCGCAATTTTTTTAAATATTTCAAGATCTTAAAAACTTAGAAGCATCAATGGGGGATACTAAAAGGTCAAAGAAAAATGCACGTTTATCACAGGGCAAGCAGTTTCTTGGATAATCATGTTATCTTTTATTTTCAAGTAAAATAATAATGATCAGGATAAATTATCAGGACTCAACACCGCCACCACAAAGTAATAATATCTCCAAAATATAATAAACTACAGTAAAGAAGAAAAGGCAATATTGAATGAAAATGTGCTTTATTTTTCTTATTATATATAAAAGACAATGAATGCATTGAATATATGCTTATGATTAATATATTAAAAAAAAAGAAAATTACTAGCAATTTAATATTAGGCGTAGACGACTTACTTTTCCAAAACATGCATGCCTAAGATTTTATCTCTTGATTGCCGTGTGCATTACTCACACAACACCTAGTCTTTAAGGGTTTACTGGAGATATCTTCCCATGAAAAAAAAAATTTTTTTCTTTAAAGTCAAGTCTAAAAATCCCAATCTGTCTATATAAGCGAACTTCTGATTTTCTCAATGTCATTATATTCTTATCGGGAAGATACCTAAATAAACAATCTCAAAGGAACAGGCTCAATATTTAATGCTACTAATTTCTAAAACCTTAACAACCAATTTTGATAAATAACGCACCTCATTCATTATATAATATCGATTTAATGTCCCCCCCCCCATTTATTCGATTTTTGCAATAATTAGTTCTTTAAAAATTAGTATTAGTATTTCTATGTGACCAACCAACTAATTTCAATATAACCAGAACCTATTAGAACTGAAGACTTTTTGTTTCAGAAGGTGGCAAAGAAAACAGAAAAGAATAAGGAAGTTTACTATTTGAAACCAAAATAGAAGAAAGCATGATTGACAAAAGATAATGTTTTAAGCCTTTTATTGAATTTATACTTTTTATTTGGCCACCAACAACGACAACAACAACAAACACACATTAACTATATTTTATATATCTGATGTAACAATTACACAAAACGACAAAAAAAGAATGATCATCAATCCCATAAATCAATCAATCGATTATTTAAATCTTTTTTTTTTTTTTCATTAAAAAATATAACTTTTGTAAAAAATTAATTCCTTATGGCAAAAGTTGAAATTTTTAAAAAATTATGTGTTCAATCTTTTTTTTGCTTTCGAGGAAAATATTAAAAAATATCCGTATCAATCTATCATACTTGATTTAAAAGATTAAATTATGTGAGTATGGTTCGTCTTAACGGATACAAAAAAAAATTATTTGCCGTCTTTCATTATCATCCAATTAAAAATAAGATTTTCAAAAAAAAAAAATAAAAAGTTACAACTAAAGTGGCAAAATGTATTTATAGATGATTTCTTAACTAGGTGTAATTATGTCTTACGAATAAATAAAAATAAATTGATTATTATTATTCAAAACAAAGGATTGTTTTTCCAGAATAAGGTTTATCATTCGTTGCTGGAGTTTTTCCACTGCTGTGGCTATCATTGTTTTCTAACTTACTAATAAATAAATAAATAAATAAATCAAGACGGATCTTTAATGAATTAATAAGTAAGTTTGTTAGAATTAATCAACTTACTTTGCCATAAAAAAAATTTTTGTAAGAAACTTCGATTAGGAAAAAATATTTATTTTCACGTTATGTAAAACCATCTGATGATCATTGCTTAATAAAGTTAGCCCCAATTCAAAAATTGTTTTGTTCCCAATTACGGTAATAACTTAAAGCAAACTAACTGTATCAATGATGACGACGCGGCGACAATATGAGCACTGGTTCTAGAAGTTTACTTATAAAAGTCTTTATAAAAACCAAGAATTGAAAGTTTAGGTGTTGATTGGTTAGTATTATATTTCTATAAAGTTGACGAACTTGTAAACAAGACAGCATCTGATAGAAATCCCTAAAAAAAAACACAAATATGGAATCAATAACAGCGCAGTTGTGTACGTAAGTCCATAAGTTTTTATAAAGTAAAGTTGCACAATGTAATTTTTTTTATTGATTTTCAGTCATTGTTCCCATGATTCCTTATTATTATTATTTTAAATTTGTGGAATTCTTATTTGATTATTTCTTACTTGAAATAGTAAAACCTAGAATTCTTTAAAAATTAATAATAATAAAAATATAATTTTTTAACTGCCACAAAACATTGTCAAATATTGTAATTTTGTGTACACCGACTGACCCTCTCCATATTTGAAAATCACAACAACATCATATTACGTACCTACCGGAAATTGTGTTCCTTGATAATAGCAAGAGGACAATAGTGTTAAAGTGCTATATTGAAAACCTGCTTAATTGAATTAACTGTTGAAATTTAAAACTTTTGATGATCAATTAAACGAAATCTATTATATTTCAGCAATTATTTGTTTTTCCTTTTTTATTATTCCAAATAATTCTCTTTTTTGTTTTGCAAATTTATTTTTTGATTTGTTGTATACAAGCCATCAGATGTATGCGCATTCTCTTTTTTTTTCTGCGTCAATATTCAAATACGTAAGTTATAACTTTATGTCGATCTTGGACAAAAACTTCACTCAATTCATACATTACAATACATTTACCCACAATGCTCTAACGATAATGAAAATTATCTCATTATTCTTGTTCTTCGCCATCACTTTTTAAAGAGTGAATTGTTTTTGATTATGTGCTTTTGGTTGTTAATTTTAGAAAAATCCAAAACTGTATTCTGAAAATCTATTCGAATGTGGGAAAATCTTTATTTATAAGTAATTTTTGTAAAACACAATAAAACACTGTTTTTCCGATTTTTTTACAAGTTAATTGAACTTTATAATAAAAAAAAAATATAAATAGTCCTTTAAAATATGAACCTCCAAAATCCTTGTATAAAATCACCTTTGTTCCTTATTTTTTTCGAAACTATAAAAATCACAACACAAACAATAAATTTCTCGATAATCGTATCATCTCGTTATCATTACATAAAAATATCGAAATATTTAAATCATAGTCATGCCAAAGGCAAAAAGAAACGATTATGGAATGATAAAATTCTCTCTCAATAATAGAAGCGGTCGTGGTGGTAGTCATTATAACAACCGACCTCCAACCACCACTAATAATAAAGACAACAACCTTAACGTAATCTTTTCTCTAAACGAAGGGGAGATCGACGACGATAAGTTGTTAGAAAATCCACCATGTAAAATACATTTTTCTAGTATAGAGGAGCTTATTTCTCCATCCACGAAAAGTAGATCATATAATAAATCACAAAAAGATCCAACAGGAAAAATACATATTCCTAGGCCGCAAAATGCATTTGTGCTCTTCAGAAAAAATCACAGCGAGGGCCTTAAAAATCGAAAGAAAAGCGACCGTACAGCCGGTAAAATCTCAACAAGTGCTAAAGAGGAGTGGGATAATGTCTCTTCGCAAGTAAAATTATATTTTATAAAACTGGCGGAACTTGCTGCTAAATTGCATAAGGAAAAATATCCCAATTATGTATACGCTCCAAAAAGAAAGGGGAGGAAAAATAACAACAACAACAACAACGATAATAATGACGACGATTATTATTATGATGATGGTGATTATGATGATGATGGTGATTATGGTGATTATGACGATGATGATGATGATAGTAATAATAATAATAATAATAATAATAATTATGACAACAACAACAATAATATCATTAATAGCAACAATAATGATAATAATAATAATAATGATGATGAAATTTACAACAACGACAACGACAACAACAACAACAATAATAATCAATTTAATATATTTGGAGAAAACAATTATTTCCCCGAAGAACAGACATATCAATTATACCAACAATTTTACGAAATTTTGTATCTAGAACAATTCCAAAATCCTAACATGAACCAAGATTTCGACCAACCACAACAATACCAACAACTTCCATATGCGCAACTTCAATATATGCCGGATGTGATGATCACGTCACCCGAAGAATGTTTAATCCCTAATTCTGCTGTTGAAAGTTCCCCTACTTCAACAAGCTTTTCAGAGTTGGAATCACCGGAGATTGAATATTATCAATATTCAAATATACACGATTCCCCACTCTTTCCAGAGATCGAGTTATCTCGATCTGTTTTCGATAATGATGAATCGAAATATTAAATAATTTTTTATATTACCAAGAATCCCCTCTCACATTTACTTATATCATTACGTGTTCTTTTTTATATATATATTTTTCAATAATTATATTTTTATATTTTATTTTTCAATAATTATATTTTTATTTTTTATTTTTCAATAATTATATTTTTTATATTTATTTTTAATAATAATATAATTATACACATAAGCTTTAAGATTTTTAAAAACAAATTTAAGATTATATGATTTTTAAGCAAATTAAGATTTAATGTATAAATAAATCAAATAATAAAAAATTTAAAAAAAAGATTGATAATAATTGATAGTAACAAAGAGTATAGCTGTACATTATCAAAATTTCTTCATTATCAAAAAGCAACTAAAAATATTGCTCGGCCAAAACTAATTAAAAATTCATACCCACACAGCCAATTACCGAATCGTCATCGATATAATTAATTGATATTGGCATTTTAATAAGGTAAAGCGTTATTTAAAAGCATATTCCTGTTGGAAAGTTTTTATTTAATATGAAAATATTTCAAATGAATGAATTTACGAATCAATGAATATAAATGAATGAATTAAATTGAACAATGAATCACGTGGGATAATTAATGTTTGAAACAAATTGCCCAATTTATACTATAAAGTCAATGGATCTCCTTATTCATATATAAACATAGTATAGTAAGTAACAACGTATAAATAAACAAGTATAAAAGGTTTCAAAAAACTTTTGTTCTTTTTTTTCTCACTCAAAAAAAAACCACTACCATCATCCATTTACACTCGCTCACAACACTTTCATTTTGAAGTTAATTAGTCCGCGACTATTTAAAATTAAAATTATTTCATCATCTATTATATTGCATATAATAGCACACACACACACACACACACACACACACACACACACACACACATTCTTCTCCTACGTCTACCTACCTACACATACAATTCACTCTCACTTTTTTTTTTAAAAAAAAAAAATAATAAAAATGAGGATTTCAACAATTTTAATTTTTACAAGTTTACTTCTTACAACAGTAAAAGCTGGCGTTTTTACAACCTCTCCTTTTAGTAAAACAATATGGACTGCTGGGGCGACTGAAACCATTACATGGAAGGATGATGGTAAAAATCCCTCTATAAAAACTTTAAACAAGCTTCAAATTGATTTATTTAATGGTAAATATTAATAATATTGGTTTATATATTAATAATTAATTTTTAATATTTTTAATTAACAGTTGATTGTTATTTTCTCCTTTAATAGGTAATGACACATCAATTCAAACTTTTGTTAGAAATGTTGCTAACGATGTTGACGCTAATACGAGAAAATTTACTTACGCAGTACCAAGTGATGTCGGGCCAGAAGGACAATAGTAAGTTAATAATTAATTGATCAATTTATACTTAATTTTATTTGTAGCTTGTTTTTCTTTAAATAATAATAATAATATTTTATTCCTTCCACAAAAAAATTTAATAGTTTTTTAAAATATACACAAGGTACTTATGTAGAAACTTCAGGTGTATTTCAGATAATAAATTCAGCGAATGTATCAATTCCAGCTGCTGTTCCTGTTACTACTAGTACTGGTGTTAGTGGTTTTTATCCTACCACTACTACTGGTGCCAGTACTACTGGTGCCAATATTAATACTGCTAGTGCTAGTGCTAGTAATCCAACACTAACTCCTACTCCTCTTAGTGGTAGTGGTAGTATATTTCATATAAATAATTTAACTTTAGGTAGTTTGATGATCTTAAGTACACTTGTATTGAAATATTTATAATAATAATAATAATTGTAACAATAATGGCTAGTTTGTAATTTTTTAATTATAATAATAATAATAATATTTAATAATTCAATTCACGTGGCAACATTTATCACGATAATTGCCCAAAAAAAATAATAAAATCACATGGTAAATTTTAATAATCCATTTAATTGATAATTGCTTATCGAGATTGAAGAACTTAACGTCTTGTGTTGTTGCCATTATAATTGTGTTGTTTGCTGTTGATATTTTTTTCGTCTTTTCTTTTTGGAATGTAGGCATAATTGGGATATTTTTCCTTATGCAATTTAGCAGCAAGTTCCACCAATTTTATAAAGTATAATCTTACTTGCGGAGAGACATTATTCCACTCCTTTTTAGCATTCGTTGAGATTTTACTGGCGGCACGATCGCTTTTCTTTTGATTTTTAAGGCCCTTGCTGTAATTTTTTCTGAAGAGCATGAATTCGTTTTGCAGCCTAGGAATATATGTTTTTGCGGTTGGATCTTTTTGAGATTTATTATATGATCTGCTTTTTGTGGATGGGGAAATAAGCTCATCTATACTAGAAAAATGTATTTTATATGGTGGATTTTCTAAGAGCATTTCGTCGTCGATCCCGACTCCTTCGTTTAGAGAAAAGATTACGTTAAGGTTGTTGTCTTTATTATTACTGATGGTTGAAGGACGGTTGTTATAATGACTACCACTACGACCGCTTCTCTTCTCGAGAGCGAATTTCATCGTTACATAATTGTTTCTTTTCAACTTTGGCATGACTATGATTTAAATATTTCAATGTGTTTATGTAATGATAATGAGATGATACGATTATCGAGAAAATTTATTGTTGTGTTTGTGATTTTTATAGTTTCGAAAAAAATAAGGAACAAAGGTGATTTTATACAAGGATTTTGGAGATTCATATTTTAAAGGACTATTATGTAATTCATTTAATTCATCAATCAAGACACCCAACTTGTCGGTTGATGAAACAGCAGCTTGTAAATATCAAAGAAAATTCATCATTCCAAAATATTAATTCTTGTCATTATGACTGACCCACAACAGCTTGGATACTCTTGAGTTTGAATATGTTGAAGTTGTTCTCGAACTTGGTGTTGGAATATGTCTTTTGTTTGCATCCAATACGACATATTCTAAAGACTTGAAATACTCCTTAATTTATCACGAGAAAAAAGTTATTGGTGAAACTTTATTCTACCCATTTTTTTTATAACGATCAAAATTACTTTATTGTAAGAAAAATGAAGCATTTTTACGTGTAGAAGAACTTTCATTGAGTATTGTTGGAATAACGTTGGAAAAAAATCTAAATGTATCATGCAATGAATGCACAACTAAGAAGAATCAGTTCACCGGTCAGCCAATAATTTTTACTGTAATAGGAATGAATTCCCAAATCGATATATTATTGTTTATTTAAAGTCTACTAGTGTAGATGACATTTGGATGTAAAATAGTTGTTGCAATTGTTGAAGATAGATCAAATGGTGATATCTCATCCATTCCATCAAACTTTTTTCTCATAGATTTCTCTTCAACAAGTTTTGGTTTTTTAGGATCTGCATCCATACATTGATATGCCAATTTAATATAACTTCTAGAGTGTTGTTAGAAAATCCAGATCTTGCTTGCTTCTTTCACATATTGCAAGATTATTGTCATGTGAATATTATTAAAGTTCATTGACCAAATTGATACCAATGACATTAACACTCTAAAACTGTATATGTCCGATTCCATCACATTTTTATTTTTTATTTGATGAAGATGATGATTTTAATAATGTTTGGTTAGCTGGAATTGATAATCCTATATCTACAATCCATATATTGTAAAATATTAGTACTCGAAATTATGAATGATATTTTTGTTGCATGTAAACCATGAATAACACTATAAAGAATTGATTGAGCTTTTATCTTCCAAAATAATTTTTAAATTCTCTTGATAAGTGAATACGAAGATTTCTCTCTTTTTTTACATATGTAATTAAGATTGTATATTATTTATACCTTTTAAATTAAAGAAAAAAAGAAAGAGAAATAATTATAAATTATATATTAATATATTTATTTAAAAAATAAATAAACAAACAAAATAAAATAAAATAAAATAGAGCATTTTTACCTCAATTAAAAAACTGCTATATAAACTACAGCTTTTTTTATTGTTATAATCTAAACGTTTGGAACCATTTATCCAACCACCTTCACCGATTTTTTCAACATTCGTTCAAGATAATTAATATTATTATAATTAGTTGTGTGCTTTTTAATTATTTTGCCTAAATTTTTCGTCTCCATATTAGTTCATCCTTGGGTGAACCACATCATTCATTGTTAGTATTATACACCATATATCATATATTTCTTTCTGGATTCTTGTATTCAATTAATTATTCATTAAATGAAAAGTATTCTAGTTGCTGAGGTTTGTTACATTTAAGTTTTTTACAAGTACAATTTGCAATTGCGAGGCATTTGAATCATTTGAAAAATGATGGCGCCATCTTTTTGTTTTCAACCAAATTTTTAACATAATAATAATGGTGACACCGAGGGGGTGGGGAGCCCAACTTCTAATTTTATTGATGTTAATGATCGATTACGTTACTCGTATAATTAAAATTAATAATAATATATAAAATTTTTTGTCAACAAACATGTCTGTAAACACTAAAGTACCACAGGTCGATTTACGATTCTATGAACGTTCGACCACTATAGCATACATTGATGCCATTAGACAATCTTTAATACACGATCTTGCATCTACCAACCCCAATTTCAAAACTGTCACTTCAAGGGAACTCTCAATATTCCTTGGCAGACTTCAAATATTCCAAGAGGAAAAGCTTGGAACAAAGTTAAATGTTCCTAAAAAATCCATGTTACCGACAAAAATACCTTCAAAATTATTCAAGGTTGAAGCAACGCTCACCAATGAATCACCCATATATTACCTTCTCCAATCAGCCTACATGTACAAAATTTCCAAAAAATGGAAAAAATGGAATTGGGATCACAATGTAAAGGACATGATCGAGATGGTTTCAATCGTTAGAAATTATTTAATAGAAAAAGGGATCATTAAAAACCCTGTTGTCATGTTTAATCAATCGCTTGTTGTAAAACGAATTAGAGAATTAAAAAAAATTGTTAAAAAATTGGGTGGTAAGTTGGATCTGCCTGCCTGCCTGCCTATATATTAATTTTTATTAAATCCATTTACATTAAAAATTTTTATATATAATGAATATAAATAAAAGGTCGAGTCACTGATAAATTGGATGAGGCTACTCATATAATTCATGAATCAAATGATAATGACTATCAGGATGAAGATTGGTTTAGAACATTAGAAAAGAAGGATGGAAAGGTACTTGTTCATTGGTGGTATTATCCTGACTCATATGATACATGGGTTGAGGAAACTTCTGATCATGCTGATCCAGAACCACCACCAATAAATAATGGTCCTTGGAATGTTGGTGATCGTTGGATTACTGATAGCATTAAATTTAATGAATGGATGAATGAAGAAGACTATGAATTGTCTAACTTGTATGAAATTGAAAATGAGTCTGATAAAGGGCAGGAAGATGAGGAGGAGGTTGAGGTTGAAGATGAAGATGAGGTTGAAAGTGTAAAAATGAGTCAAGAATCAAGGGGAAATATGAATGAAGAAGAGGATGAAGAAGGCGTCGTTGTTGATGATGATATTAATGACGATGCTGTTTCTGATAATATGATAAAGAAAGATGATGATGATGATGAAGAGGAGGCACAAGAAGCTAGTGATGATAACAATATTGTAGTTCAATATGAAGAAGAAGAAGATGATGATGATAATGTTATTGACATTGACAATAATTATAAAAACGAAGAGAAATCTCACATTCAAGAATTACTTAGAACATTTCAACAACAAAAAAAACATAAATTAGATGATGAGGTTCAAGAAACTAGCACCGTCAATAAAACAGAAGCTATCCAACCAGTGCCATCTTCAAAACGTCCTAGAATAAGATCACCCGAACCTAAAACCATATCTAAAATATCGTTTATTGACATTGAAGAAGAAGCATTATCTCTAGATTTATCTCGCCAGAAAAGAAATGAACTTGACCCAATTCTGAATGGAGATGTTGGAAATATTTCATATACATTTGCTGATAATAAAACAGAACATGTGATATATGGTATGTTGATTTTTTTTTCGTAAACTGTGATTATCGATTCATTTTATATATAAATTTTGGTCAAAGGACAACATTCGCATAATATTGATGACAAGTTACAAAATTCCATTAAAATAACAGAAATAAACAATACTGAAAATAGCGAAAAGACAAATTTAACTCAAGGTGAAGAAGCCATGAAGAAGCTTTACGAAGAAGCTCGTGAAATTTTATCAGAGTATAAACGTGAAGTCATAGTACCTTCATATTCAGAATGGTTTGACTCCAACAAAATTCATGATATTGAAAAGGATGCTATGATGGAATTCTTTAACAATAAAAATAAAACAAAAACTTCCGAAACATACAAGAAATCCAGAGATTTTATGATTAATACTTATCACCTTAACCCTAGAGAATATTTAACGATTACTACGTGTTGTAAAAACTTACCTATCGATGTTCGTGAAATAATTCATTTACATGCTTTTTTGGAACAATGGGGATTGATTAATTATCAGGTAATCCTATAAAATTTATTTATTAGATTAATCTAAATTATTAATATTGGAATTAAAATGAAATTATTTCTTTGTAGGTTGATTCAAGCGCATCAAGTTTATCTATTAGACCTTTATTTACCAAAAACTTCAATATTAAAACCGACACACCTAATAACGGTCTTCAGGACGCGATTACTCAAGACCTATCAAATGGCAGAAAAAATATTGGAATTTCAGATTCGCCTTGCAATTCCAACATATTCTCAATTGCTCAAAACATTTATCAACCCAAAATTAATATTACTGAAACAAAGAATATATTTGATAAAGGAAAGAAACCAAAAATTCATACTGATGAACAAAAATCAACTAGATGTTCTGTTTGTTCAACAAATTTTACAGATGTTAGATATCGTTCTTTGAAAGAACAAGAGTTTGAATTGTGTTCTGATTGCTACTTAGAAGGACGTTATCCTGTAACAATGTTTAGTGGTGATTTTGTAAGACTTGAGGATCTTGAATTCAGTAAATACAAAGATAATGATTGGACAGTTGGTGAAACTTTATCTCTTATTGAAGGCGTAGAGTTGTTTGGAGATGATTGGAATATGGTATCAATGCATGTTCATACACGATCAAAAGAACAATGTATCTCTCACTTTCTTGAACTGCCAATTGAGGATCCATTAAAGTTTACTAAAGATCCAAACACACAATCTTCATCTTCACATGATTACATACCATTCATTCAAACAGATAATCCAATAATGACCATGGTAACAACGTTGGCTTCAGCAGTTAATCCCGGTGTAGCAGCAGCAGCAGCAAAATCTTCAATAAAAGATCTGAACTTATATATGAAATTGCCAGACAATGAAAAGTCAAGTGACATTAATAACATCAATACTGCTGATAATTCATTAAAACTGCCTTTAGATAATAATAAATCAGACGACACTGATAATTCTGAGGAACAAAGGGGCATAGCAGAGAAAGTAATAAAAAATGCATTTGATTCTGCAGCTGCCAAGGCTATGTCGTTGGCCGAATATGAAGAGAGAGAAATTTATCGTCTAATTAATGCAATAATTGACAGTCAACACAGAAAACTTGAACTTAAACTTCAGCAAATTCAAGAATTGGACAGTTTTGTTGAAGCAGAGAAAAGGGAAATTCAGCGACATATAAATTCTTTGACTTATGAGCAAAATCAATACCAAAAAGAGGTACTCACACTGAGAGAACAATTTAATACAAGTAATAACAATATCATGAGTAACAACTAGGGATGTTAATATTCCGTCAGGACTGGTCCAAGTCCATCTTATTTAAGAACAGGCCAAACTGTTAGTTGATGAGCCATAGTATAAGGCCGTGGTCTTTATATTAATTCAAATTATTGTAATTCTTTGTTAAAAAAAAATTATTCTACCAAAAATAATAAAAAATGTACATTTACTAATATATATATAAATTTAATTTTTTTTATTAATATAATACCAAAAAAACTAAAAAAAATAATAATAATATAAATCAATTGGGGCATACCAGACAAAGTGAACATTGGTATTACTATATATGGGTGTCTAAACTAAATTATTTAGACAATGTCTAAAATATAAATTAATTTAGTCATTTAGACAATCATGGTCTCAATTGTCTAAAATACAGAAATTGAATTTTTTATTGGATAATTTTACTGAACTTTGTGGATTTTGTGTATATACACGTGACTTTTAGTTGTATTTAAAGCAAATCATTGCTATTTATATTAATTTAGACATTTAGACATTTTTGTCTATAAATATATTAATATATATACGAACATTAAGTAACTATTTGATTATTTTAGGATTTAAAAGAGTTCAAATATAATAATAATAATTAATTGTATGACAATCCTTTCTACTAATACTAATACCAAAGGAATACATGCAATATAATTAGATAGCTTTTATATATATATGTTTAGAAACTATTATGAAAAAGATCATAAAAAAAAATCTATTAATTTGTAAAATAACAACTCTTCTTGATCTAATAACAATATTGTATATATGAATTTTCTCAAAAATTAATCTATTAAGATATGTTATATATATATATATATATATAAGAAATATTTAATTTTTCTTTACTATTTTATAAACCTCGAATTCCTCTAACAAATGAACCCTTTTATGATTATTTCTAAGGTTCAGATTATTTTCATAAATATTTCTATGACAATAATAACAATAAGGTTTATTATCAATGGTGTTTAATAGTCGTAAATCATCAAAATTTATAAAATCTTCATGAAATTTTATACTATTTTCAGTAATATCAAGATTTTGTTCATTATGAAGCATTGCAAATTTAGGATCTTCAACTCTACTTAATATCGAATTATTTATTTCATCTTCATCTATTTTAAAAATAAAACTTTCATCTGTTTCAAACCAATAGTCTTTACCTGATACTTTTTCATCATCATTCCAAAAAATTGGGTTATAGCCACCAATCAATTCACCTGTATCTTTGATTTTCATAACAGCTACAGTTTGTTCAACGTCATAACATTTATTCACGAAAACTGATCTTGAAAAACCATTCTTGGTAGCACTTAAAATTAATTCAAATTCATATGGTAGATTATTTACATTGTAAAGACCATTTTTGTGATCAATCCAACTAGCAATTAAGAATTTCATTTTTAGATTTAACAAATTTCCATTTCTAGTTCTTGGACCTGCTTGAAGAAATGAGTTTGGTTGACATTCATCACCATTACGATAATATTGAAGTATTTTTTCATATAATCCTTTATTAATAACTTTCTTGTAAGGTTCAATTTTTTTATAAAAATCTGTAGGTATAATTTCAGTGAATCTTATTAATGGAATGATATCATCTAATACATCTCTCATCCTTTTGAAATCATCATCACTCCATTCTGAAATTTTTTTTTCTTCCAATTCTTCTTCACTTTGTCCTATTCCCCATCTAATGATAGAATCCCAAATATCAATTTCATTCGATTTTAAATCATTTTTTTCTAACAAAGATATAAGCATTGGTTTTTCAATAACTCCAATGTCTTCAGATTTTAAAAATACATCTGGATCTTCACAAATTATTTCACTAAAATAGTCACGAAGTAAACTAAATGAATGATGTTTTGATGAAACCCCATAAACATAAATCAGATTTTGTTGGATCCATTCTGTTTTTTCAATGATTAAATGATTCTCTAGATCCTCAATTAATTCATTAAAATTTAATTCATCACATGCTTCAAGAAGTTCAAGAATTTCATTTGAATTCAAATTATCTACATTAATAGTTCCATTGTAGATATATCTTTTAAAAATAAAATTAAATGGATTAATAAGATTAAATGTTGTTTTAAATATATAATGCATATATGAGGCTTTTGAATAAAAACGAACCATACTCCTAAAATGATATTTTGAGAAAAAAATCTGCATTAGGGAATTTGCTATTATTTTCGAATCTTCAAGGGAAGAGACTTCAAAATTCTACTATGCAAAGTGAATATAGTTTCTAAGCTAAAAATTCTCTACATACAGAGGAACTGTATGAACTCAAGTATGCATTTGGGAGTATGGTTCGTTTCTATTCAAAAGCCACACACATTTAATCTTTTTTTTTAAAAAAAACCACAAATTGAATTAATCTTACGTTAAAAGAACTTCAAATATATTTGGAGCAATATTATTTTTTTCGAATAAAATAATACCATCTTCAGATTTTTTGATCCAAGTATTTGATAAAGCCGCATTAAAATACAAAGATCTTGCTTTTAGAATGGCAGAATGAACTTTAAAAGTTTTAACAACACCTTGGGCTCCTCCAACTTTAATTTCTACATCATAGAAGTCACATTCCAATAATTTTGCTATATCATTTACAAGCTTACTAATATATTTTAATGGTGCCGCATGTTCATCATGATTGATTGCATTCTCAAATAATGAGTTAATGTTTTCTAGGGATGAAAAATTAATAGACATTTTGCTTGAAGTTATTAATTATATAATAATGTAAAATGATAATGTAAAAAAATAATATTAAAACGATAATTTTATTTGGTGGGCAACAATTTGTGTAATATTATTAAATAACAAACATATTAATATTAATTTAACACAAGAAAAGAATTACAGTAATACTTTTTTTTTCTAAATTTGATAAAATCATTTGGTTGATATTGCTATTTTTGAAATTTAACACATGGCGCAGCAATAGGACGCGCCAACCATCCTTTGTATGGTAGATCGTCTGGAATCTCTTCAAACCAATAATTTCTTCTTTAATCAATTAATCACGATCTTTTTTCAAATGTCCCTGCTTTCTGCAATGATCGTAGTAGAGTTATCTTCGAAACACAAATTCTTCAACTACTCCTTGAATTTTACAATCTCGCAGAAATAACAATGCTCGTTTTAATGTTTCATGTAACATCTGTGGTGGCTTTATCTATTTGAACTCAAATAATGACAATCGTTATCCATTATTTACAAACTATGCATTAAAATATTATATATTAATATCAACAATATAATTGTAATAGTAAATATATGTGTATCATGATATTATGTGTATTATTTAATATTATATTTATTTATATAACTAGTGTTGTCAACAGAGGAAACAATTATAGAGGGGTTAAGTGGAGATGAATGGCCTTTGACTCCATTGTTTTAAATTGCTTCATCCAATCATTAAACCATTATTTATTGACAATAGTGTTAGACTAAACCGTGCAACTAGTGGTACAAAAATGAGGCCTGATGTTTCATGCCTAGTTGATAAAATAGCAATACTAAATTCTGAGATAAAACCTCTGGTTTTACCCCATTTCAACAATTGAAAGACAAAATAAAAGTACAAATAAGAGCACGCGAGTCAATAAATCAAATGTCAGAGACAAGAGAAGGACCACCAGAAGCAACATTTTTTACAGATGCAAGTATGTAACGAATAAAATTGATTTCAATCCAATTAATTTAAGTACATCATTAAAACTATAGGTTTTCAGGTGACTTAGTTGAATCTTTCTGCATGAATTTAAAGTTTGATGGGCTTTACCGATCGTGGCATTTTCTAACCACCCGGCTAGTAAAAGATAGAACTACCATTCCCTTGTTGGTCAATTTTTAATTTTGATGGATTGAATGGAGAACATGTGAAGGAAAATTATTACATAAGCTAATACATTGATCCTGTGTGAGGATTATGAAATATCAGCACAAAGTTTTGCACAATTTAGAGATGGTTTAATTGAGACATTTTATAACTGTGAATGATTCAGTGAAATTTGCGACATTTTATTGCACTCGGGGTGTATTATATACAACATATTTCATTCAGATGTTTGTGATGAAAACAAATTACCTACAATTTCATTTGTATCTTGCATTGATAGAGATGTGGTTTAATATAATCATTAATAGAAGTTGATACATTTTCTTGATTGGCATTCACAGACTCATCTCATACTGCTTCAAGTTCGTTGGATCCTTATGCCATAAATCTTGAGTGCTCATTTCTGAAATTATTTCTTCGGTTGTAGTTTCTGTTTCATATGGATCAATACAATCATTAGACACGTTGCAAGAATTTCAGAAAATTATAATTATCGAACAGTGTTATAACATGTAAATTTACTCAAGTTCCGAAAATTATTATTAAATCCATGATTGTTTATACAACAATAATCCATATTAAAAGTGCTAAAATCTTTAATAAGTACTGAATGGTCTAAAATAAATTTTACTAGACTATTTCTTAAATTATTTAATCCGAGAGTTTTTACTAGCTTTTGAAAATGATAACTGTTGATAAGATGGAGTGGTGATTTTATATCTCCTTTACAATTAAGTTATATGAGAACATTTCCAAATAGTCTCCAGATTAATGAAATCATTAATATTAAATAGATTCTCTTTCTCCACATCCCACATTGTTTATATAGTTAATTATAAATATTAATATCAATTTTAATTTCATAGTTATATTCTATATATTTGAAATATTTTATATATTACCGTAAAGTCTGGAAAGATAGCATCCCCTTTTTACATATGTGTAACATTTTTTTTTATATTGACGCTCTATTGTTTTAAAGTAGGGGGTGCTATCTTCCGAGGGGTGCTATCTTTCCAGACTTTACGGTATTTAGTTTAGTCAATAATTAATAAATAATTTAATTTTGTGAATGTTCACTTTGTCTATTAATCCAAAAAGGTGTTAAACATACATACGCAGTATTTTACGGATAGTATGATTGACAAGTTTTCTCCTCCTAATGTTTCAATAAATGAAGTTGTAAAAGTTATATGGAACTGCTTTTAAAATCATTGAAAAAGAAAATAGAATCATATATGGTATTCAAAACAAAATAGATATTTTTCAATCATGTCGATCATATCTTGTTTCAACGGATTTAATACATTTCTGCTGGGATTCGACTAGCTACTGGATTACGCTTCCTGAGTGACGATGGAATACATTTGTTAAACCAAGCAATCCTATTCCCTTACAGTCAGTATGAGTCATCGTGTATATAGTTTCTTTTATCTCGAGCTTAATTTCAATCCTTTATACCATGTATAGACAGATAGCACATGCAATCTTAGGGGGAAATCCGCAGTCCTATTATGATAACACTAAATTCAGTAAAAGCAATGGCACAAAAAAAACATAGTAACTTTACATAATTAATTCATATATGTAAAAAAAAATTTTTCTTCTTTATATTCATGTACGTCAGATTAGAGATTCTATTCGAATAAGGTTTATTCGGATTGTTTGTTTTATTCATTATGAATTTGAGCATTCGAATTATATTGAAAGTTTATTTAGAACAAACCGAATAATTCAAATTAAGATGAATTTTAAATGAACTTTAATGGGTTCGTAATGCTTAATGATTCCAATTTCTCCATATAAAATGAATGGTGTAATCATTCCAAAGCATAAATTCATGATCAACCCAAGAACAAAGCCTATATAAGTACCAGTTTGTTTTCAAAAAGTCTTTCCTTGTATAAAAAATTGTAAAATTAATTTTGTTAATGACTATTAAAAAAATCCACTATAAATAAATAAATAAATAAATACTATAATCTTATCAACTCACTTATTTTCATTTTATATAAAAATAACATTTTAAAAAAATGCTTGCCTTTGTAAGTGAATTTCTTTTATGGATTGTTGGTTGATTGAGCTTTGAGTCAATATAAATCAGCTTTATATATAGAATGAACCAAAAATTTGATGAAATAATTCGTACAACAGAATCTGGAAGAACTAAACAAAAATAAAGGCATAAGCTGATTAGTAATCAAGAACATTAGGAAGAAATTAAAAGAAATTAAATAAGGAAAAAGTTGAGCAGAACTTAGCCATTTAGAGCATAGGAAAATCTAGACAAATTGCTATCATTGACAACATTGCTAATAAAATCACCAAAACCAACTACAAAATCATAACTGCTGAAATCATCACTGAATCATAAAAACCTCAAAAAAAATTATTGTCTTAAAGGAAGGGTGGTTTTTTGTAAAATAATTATTTTTATCAAAGAAAATAAGATCATGATTTTATTAATGCATTCTTATTTTTATTGGTCATTTTATTTTTTATTATCAATAGATCTCAGTTAAATTTACAATGCAGATCACATTTTATTGATGTCAATTCTTGCATTGACAAAAGAGAAGATAAAGTAATGTATTGGAAGATAAAATAAAATGATAACAACCTTAAAATCAGTTCTGGCTTTAATATCTAAGTTATTTTCAACATAGATGTCAATAACTTTTAACCTTGACTGTATCACTCAATTGACATTTGACATTTAATTTGAAAGAATACAATTTTTTAGGCTCATCATTTTATTATCCTGCACTCACCTTGTTTTATATGTTTATTAAAAGAGAGCTTGCTTTTTCTAAAGGCATATCAGCACAAGTATAATGTTAAATCTTCAATTAATTCATCTTTGCTTTCTAAAAGTTATACAATAGAAGGTAACATTCTTTGTTGTGCCTTTTAATTGCTTCTTTTTTTTTTTTTTTGCACGATGAATGACACATCCAATAACACGACTACAGTAATTACTAAACAAAAGACCATCATCAACCCTAGTGACCGGGACTTCCAGTCACTTTTCCCTCATTCAATTGACAAAATTTGTGACACGCCCGTTACGAATATAAAATGACATCACATTTACTTCTAAATTTGCTATTTCGGCGGCTTTCTGTTTAACTTCGGAGATCACCGATTAATATTTTCGGACGATCTTTACTAAATGTTAACAATATCAGCATTAAATTTCGGACTATTGAAACGCATTATCATACTAATACTATTTAATTTAGTGGATGATAAAAAAAGCGATAAGACAGAATTTTAGTGCTTACTTCGACATTCACATGCGTTAATTTCACTTAAAATAAACCTTATCTATATAAATAATATAAATAAATATAATAATTAAATTAATTAATATTAATTAACAAATAGTGCACACAATATTGTATTAAATTTGATTGGTTTAGGTGTGTTAGAACAGACTAAAAATTTTGAACTGGTCCGGTCCTTAAGAACAGGTCTTTAGGCCCGGATCAATGGACTTTTCCCCTAGTTATCATTCAAGAGAAGATTCTGACAACGATTATTTACCAGCTAGTGATTCTGACTCTGATACACGTTCTCCAAAACGCCTTCGCATAGACACACTTGAACGTGAAATAAATATGAGGGTTGGTCAAACTGGAAATGGAATAGGAGGAGAAAGTACAACAAATGGAAGATCTTCAACTAATACTAACGGCAATGTGCAATCTTCAACTAATGGTCAATTTTCGACTAATAATGGTCTGCAAGGAACTCGAAGACGTGAGATCGTCAGGCTAATGGTGCAAGCAATGCAAGATATGGGTTATAAGTATGTTGTTATTCTTTTGAATTTTCGAATTTTTAAAAACTACTATATTTTGTTGAAATCCTTCCAATTTTTATTAAAACTCCAAAATGTTGCTTAGTCAAGCCGCCACAACCTTAGAAAATGAGTCTGGTTTCCCACTTGAAAGTAAAGATGTTGCAAGATTTAAAGATGGTGTTTTAAATGGTGACTGGGCTTTAGTAGAAAGTCTTCTTCCAATTTTAGAATTGGATAATAGTAAAGATGCTGTGGTAATTAAATAATTAATAATACATACAGATTACAATTTAATGATTGATTTAATAATATAATAAATACTATTATCATAATTGTCATTATTGTTTATAGAATTTTACAAAAAATTATTTTTTCTTTTAGGTTGTAAAATTTTTGATTCGAGAACAAAAATTTTTTGAATTATTAGAATCTAGTCAGTTAAAAAAAGCTCTGCACGTATTAAGAACTGAACTTACACCACTTGATTTTAATTTGGACAGGGTTCATGTTTTATCTAGGTATTTGTAGTCAGTCAATTTATTAATCTGTTATTTTATTTTTTCTAAAAAAAATTCAATCAACACATCTATTTCTTTCAACTTGAAATGTAGTTACATTATGTATTCAAATGCTGAAGATTTAAGATTTCATTCTGAATGGGATGGTGCTAAAGGAACATCGCGTCAAAAATTATTGCTAGAACTTCAAAGTATGAGTTAATCAATCATAATTAACAAATTAAAAATTCCTTTTTATATATGCGAAGATAAGGAGATGATTAATACCTGCTCGCCCTATATATATATATATATATATTTATATTTATTTATTTATTTACATTTGTTTTTATATAATAAGGATACATTTCACCCTCAATTATGGTTCCTGAACATCGTTTAGAAACATTATTAGAACAATCCATAACTCTACAACGTATATCATGTCTTTATCATAATACAGATCAATATATATCTTTATATTCTGATCACGCCTGTGACAGGTTAGTATTATTTATTTGTTTATTTATTTATTATTCCTTAATTAATTTATTGGTTTTTATTCTATTTATTTAGATCACAGTTTCCTTCGGTTACGACTCATATTTTTAATCATCATACTGATGAGGTTTGGTATGTAGCATTTTCGAACAATGGAAAATTTTTAGCTTCAGCTTCAAGGGATAAAACTGCTATCATATGGAGTCTTGAGGTAATTCAATAATATAATAATATATATATATATATCATTAGCATATTATTATAAAATTTTATTATTAAATATATTATTATTTTAAAATAATATCAATAGACTTTGGATGTTGTTCATATTCTAAGAGAACATACAGATTGTGTTTCATTTTTATCTTGGTCTCCAGATGATTCAAATTTATTAACATGTGGACAAGACAACAAATTGAAACTTTGGAATGTTGAGGTATTTTTATTTACATTTATTTAGATTTAGATATATTATTTTCAAAGATAGTAGTAAATTATTATTGTATTTCTATAAATCTTTTTTAATAGTCAGGTGAATGTCTTAAAACAATGCACAACCATGTTGATCCTGTAACTACATGTGCATGGTTACCAGATGGTAAAAGTTTTATATCTGGTAGCCAAGATAAAAATACTTATTTATGGGTAATTTATTTAAATATATTTAAAAAGAAAAAATTGACTTTTAAAAAAGATTAAATATAATATTTTTAATTAATTAATATATATATATATATATAGAATTTGGATGGAACAGTTTTGTATGGATGGAGTGGAGTTAGGATAATGGATTTAGCAATAAATAAAGATGGAACGAGAATGGTTGCAATATGTCATGACAAGAAGATCCACATATATGATCTTGTTTCAAAGAAGGAAGAAGTGTATGCAAAAAAGTTTTGTAAAAAATTTTAAAAGTAAAATATTTTCGATTATATTTTTAATTAATATATACATATATATATAGGACTATGGGAGAAAGTGCCAATGTTACTTCGATTTGTTTATCAAATGATTGTAGATACGCGCTAGTTAATCTTTCAACAGAAGTAAAAAATATATCATTATATTTCAAATTTATCTTTATCTTCATATATATATCTTATTTGATTTTTTTTACTAACCAAACTTTTCTTTATATATCAAATAAAGAAAATTCATTTATGGGACATTGAAGAAAATCGTTTGGTTAGGAAGTATTATGGACAGAAGCAAGGCAAATTTGTTATCAGATCTTGTTTTGGAGGAATAGATCAAGGATTTATTGTTAGCGGAAGTGAAGGTTTTGTATCAACTCAACATATATTTACAAACATACAGTTGTTATTTTGATTTATTATAATATAACGAACAAATAATTTTTGTTCAAATTTTGTTTATCAGACTCAAAAATATATGTTTGGCATCGAGAACACGCTACATTAATAGAAGCATTGCCAGGTCATAATGGAACTGTAAACAGTGTCAATTGGAGCCCAGTGAATCCTTACATGTTTGCTTCAGCTGGAGACGATCATACTATTAGAATGTAAGATTTTTTATTTTTTTTTAATATCCATATAGATTATTTATACAATAATGATCATTAATATAAAATAAAAATATAGATGGGGTACACCAAATGCAGCAGGCTATAAAGGCAAAATGAAGACGCCATGACTTTTTATTTATTTTTTATTTAGTTACAAATATGTATATATTTATATTCACAAACACACATATATAAGAAACTATATTAATATATTAATAATATTCTCATTCGCTTTTGCTTTGATTAAAAATTAAAGCACTAAACAGCACCAATAGCAATTTAATAGATTATCATTATTATTAATCATAATAATAATATTGCTGACAATTTTTTTTTTTCTCTTTTTAAAAAATATTTAATAAAAACACAATTTAATTTTCTATTGCTTTTTTTTTTAATTCACTTTTCCTCCTCTTTATAAATTTCTTTTTGATAAAATATCTATCTATTAAAAAATAAAATTGTTTTTCTAAAAAAAAAATCGATCACGTCAACAAAAAACAGTAGTAATAATTCATACGCGCGTGATGTATAGTAATTAGTGTATGATGCGTTTATCAATCAAAACAATATTTTTATTTTTAAAATGAGATAAAAAAGAACTCAACAAACTGACATCAAAGGCTCATTCATGTTCACGCAATTGTTATTCATTAAAAAGAATGATAGTGGTTGTGATCGCTGCCACTCCGTCATTCTAGAAATATTAATTATTTGGGAATAAACTTTGTAAATTTATTGTATTCTTTTGAAATATACAAGACCAATCTTTTGCTTTTAGTAAATTGAGACTTTAATAATGTTCTTTAATCCCAAGCAGGACAAGAAGCTATCTTGACTTAGCATTAAAAAGGTTTTAGATGTCTTAAAAATGACGATGATGGCAAGCATCAATTAAATAAATGCATTTCAGAATGACTGTATCAATTATAGTTAATCAATCGCCACTATCATCACAATTACCACCACAATCAGGTTTGAACAATTTCAAGATCTTTGTGTTTAAAAAACTTATATTTTTCTTTTTGATTAACTAAAACAAGTAGGTAAAACCAGAAAACCTTATCATCGTTATAGGAGGGTCCCGCAAACTTCATAGAAAAGTCACTGCCGCAGCTAGGTCATATAAATCAAATCTTTTGTCAGTAATTATAATAGGGTCAAATTATTTATAAATTTAAAATTTTATGAACGTAACAAAATTAATCCATCTTCGTGAAGAATGATCTTAAAGCATTTAAAACATTATTATTATTCTGCTATATAAAAATATAAAAAAAATTGCTAATATATTTTAAATACAATGAATTTTGATTTGTGTTTTGATAGTTCTATATTTTTGCTCATAATAACATAAATGAATGATTCAACAAATTGTCAATGATTTATTGCACGGATTCTCCAAGCATCTGTAATTTAATTAATTCAGAATAATTATTTTTTCTAACCATTAAATTTATACAGCGTGGAATGGCGGCGAACTGCTATAGTTTCATACAACATAGGATGGAGACGAATTGCTATAGCTTCGTACAGAAATTGGTATTGATATTGGCAGAAAGAGTCGAAAACGATTTGTGAAATATTAATATAAAATTACTGAAAGGTTAAACAGAAGATTCAGATGTTTTGACAACTCAAGGTTAAAAAGTCAAATAATCTTTCAACAAAAATGGTTAATGTTAAAATATGAATGGCCAAAGGAATCTTTAATGTTTTATGGTGAATCAAAATTGGAGGAATTAGTTTCAATTTATGGAAATGGTATTTATTTTTGTTGCTGTTGAGAAGAGTATGTTAGTTTTAAAACTGTCGCATGTTCAAATTATCAAAATTTAGTTATAGATGATTAACTTCCTTCCTTTATTATGTGATATATTAAAATGGATTTTAATTTACGTAATGCAATAATAATAATAATAATAATAAGGGAAGTTTCATTCCGATTAACCGGGACAAAAATGTGTAAAATCGACGAATTGAAATGTTTCTCTCCAATATAACATGACAAAAATATTCTGCAAATTGCTACACTTGAAAAAAAACAAATTTTACTATCGGGTATCTCTGGATTTTTGAAATTTTTTGTGTAATTTATGATACAAATTTAGGACTGATCTACTGTTTCGACCAATCAATTAACAGATTCGTCGGCCTAATTTTTCAACACTGGGCATACCAAAAATGAGACTTTTTTATTAATAAATATTAACCCCGTTTTTTATTATTAAAAAAATGTATATACCGATTATCACGTATCACGAATTAAATGCTATATTAATATATAATGTTATAATATATGTGCACATACACACTAAATGTAAACATTTAATTAAAAATCAAAATTAGTGTCACATAAATTTTTGCATGAATGAATTTAAAAGTTCATTACAAAGTAGGGGGAAAAATATATATGTAAAGATAAATATTTAGCACAAATGAAAATGAAGATTCCAAAGCGCTATTTTCTCATTTCTAATTTTCTCTCCCCATCCATCAACATCTAATTATTCCAATTTGATATGTTTAAATTCCATCTTTAATTTTAAAGATCTTAACCAGTATGACAATCTAAGTTCCTTTGCTCTGAAATAAAACAAATCTGATTTTGTGATAGTATTGTCATCATTATCATTATTTTCAATATGTGATTTTTTCAGATCGTTCTTCTTCGAAATTTGCCTGACGGCTCTGGGATTTGAATGTTTTAAAATTACTTTTTTAAGTTCTTTTAAAAGTTTTTCTAAAGATCTGTAAAAATGGATGTAATCTTGTTTTTTAATAATTTTTGGTTTGATGAGCGAACGTGAGAAATTTGATGGCGTGTTTAAATAAGTTTGGATTGTTGCATCCATTTGTTTTATTTCATTTATAAGCCTGGTTTTGTTCATCTTTGAGTATTTGGATAATTTATGTCTTTGCGTTTGTTTATACAATGTGTTAAACGTATGTTTAAAATCTGTTTAAAAGGGTTTTTGTAATTAATATATTATATTACGGTATTAAGTTTATTTTTTAAATTTATTAATTTGAATTTTTCTAAATTAAAAAAAAAACCAAAAACGAAAAAGGGATAAAAAATTATTGTCAATATATAACACAAATAACAAAACTATGTTATACAAAATTCTTGTTGTACACGTGGATAGTGATGTGATTTTTATCAAAAACGGCATACAATATAATTGAACTACTACGACACCGTTGATAAAAAAATTATGTAACCTCCGAGTTGTCCGCCTCATTGCAAAATCCTTTTTCAGAACCTATCCAATCATGTGGCGATAAAAAATTGATGTATAGGAAAAAAAACTTGTAGAGTCAGTTATAAAATATATAACAAATATAATAAATTGCCATAACACAATAATAAGTATTGTAGTAAAAAAAAATTTTTTTTTGACACTTTACTTAAAATATTTAATTAATACAGGGTTGGGAAATCGTACACGCATCGTATATACACGTACATACGTATGGAGCTTAAATTTTTTAGTACGAACATATCATGTGATTTATGATAATTTTTATTGGTTGATCAAATGTAATATATATATATGTGTATTCGTTAACTTTTGTCACAGCGAACTATAATAATAATCAAACTCTTGTATAACGGATTTTAAAAAATTTTTGCTTCGCATATCACATGTAAAATCATATAAAAATCCGCTGTGGCAAGATTAGTATTAGTATTTAGTAATCTTGCCACAACGGATTTTAAATAAAATTTGTTTATGTGTACCGTTCATCCGCTGTGTCAAGGTTTGACTATATTGTGGAATTAACTACGTACTGTATATGATTGAAGATATTTAATACCACTTATTAATTATTTTGAATTGATAATATAATTAACAAGAATGTAAAGATAATTTTTTTAAATAAATAAAAAAAAAATTTAGGAATCACGGTAATAATAATACTACTAATACTACTAACAATAATGCACCCAGGATAATGTAAGCATAATATGATAATCAGGGTTTTTCTGATAACGAAGTAGTATTACGATCTGTTACGACCTTTAATTATAGTAATCGTAATAATAATAGGGCTGACAGCATAATATTATTATAAAATAATATTTTATCACCACAGAAAATCATCGTACGTTCGTACAACGAAATTGCACAACACTGACTATAATAATAACGTATATAATGCTGCTACATAATAACAGGGGATTTAAATAAGCACATATATAACATGATAGTCAGGTTTTTCTGATAATGAAATGGTATTACGACCCCAGTTACAACATCTGGTAATCCATTAATTATATAATAGGGTTATCGGCTTAATAATAATATTATTATAGGATTTTACAAAGTAATATTTTGTCACCGCAGAAAATCATCGTTCCTGATACATCGTACATTCGTACATTCGTACGGAAAAACTGTTTACGTGCCAAAATCTAAAGTAATTAGTTTTTTTTTGTTTTTGTTTACCAAAAAAAACCAACTTGTTCGCAATGTGGTAGTTTCAATGCTCGTTATGTTCTGGAAGGGAACGAGAAAAAATTTTGCCATCAATGCTTCGAGAAAATGAAAAACAACCGAGAAAATAAAAAGAAAAAGCCACCAAAAGGAGGATTTTTTGAAAATGATACGTACATATGTAAAATTTCCTCGTACAGGTGTACGACCGCAACGAAACTGTACGAACTCAATGGTACGAAGTCAGTCGTACGTACGTATGAAGATTCTTCTCGTACAGTGAAATTGCACAACCCTGATATAGGAGTTGTGATCGCATAGGATAAGTCTAACTGTATAGTATTTGAATAATAAATTGTCATGACATCTATTTGATATGCCAATAATTCTAATATGCGGCATACGCCATTATCCTTTTGTTTGATATAGTGCGCACCACGATCCAAATAACAATATATGTTGTTAATATTCCGTGGTGACGTGCCACCCGATCCCTTGAAGATATTGTTTTATATTTGAGTCCTGGAGCCATTTGCGTCCAGTTTTCAAATAAATAAAAATAAAAATAAGATGGAAATATATACTGGTTGAGGAGGAATTATTGTGCAATTAAACATTTTAACTTCCTTATCAATCAATAATTAAACTAATTGATGAACTTCTTGAAGAAAATATACGTACAAGTAATAAAAGTTCAATTATAAGGGAAAAGAAGTTATTAAGGAATTGTTATCATTGTTATTATTAGTAGTGAATAAGTTATTGTTACGATGAAGAAGTTAAAGGTGCGTGCGTCCAAAGGCAAATTTACACTTTTTTTATATGTCTTTGATGAATTATTCACCCGATTTTTAGCAATGTTAATAATCAATTGACAATCGGTTATCTCGAATTTTAACTAATTAGCTTATTAAAAAATAGTGACAATTCAGAAAACCCTGATTTTTATCAATTCTAAAAATTGGAAGTATCCATAATTTATTGTTTATGATTGATCAATTTGACAAAAATTGGGAGTATTACCGATTTTTCTTTTTTTTATTTGTGAATTGGGTCCCGCCCAATTGACCGACAGACATTATACCGACAGCCGTTATACCGACTCCGTTATACCGACAGGACGTTTTACCGACAAGATATTATACTAATACGACAAGACATTATACCGACAGGACGTTATACCAACAGGACATTATACCGACAAGTAATTTCATAGTGCAATTAATCAATCTAGCCGTCTAATAAATGGCTTAACCACTTAAACAGCCTAGCCGTCTAATAAATGGTTTAACAGACTTGAACAGTTTAGCCGGCTAATAAATGGTTTGACAGATTAGCCGGCTAATCGGCTTAACATCATCAGATATATTAATATATATTATATATGCCGTTTATTAATATTAACGGATAATGATAATGAACTGATATGGTTATGGTAGGAAAAACAAAGAAATACAGTCAACCCCCTCTAAGTGAACCCTCCTTGGGAACATATCATTATTTCTCATGAACGTGCATTTAGAGAGGGTGTGCATTTAGAGGTGAGAATTTATAAGCTCACTATAAGTTTGGGAATGAGACATAGCGTGCATTTAGAGAGGGTTTGCACAGTGAGTGCATTTAGAGAGGTGCACTTAGAGGGGTTGACTGTATTATGCTAAATTGATAGAATATATTAGAAAATGACTTGTCGGTATAATGTCCTGTTGGTATAATGTCCTGTCGGTATAATGTCCTGTCGGTAAAACGTCCTGTCGGTATAACGGAGTCGGTATACGGCTGTTGGTATAATGCCTGTCGGTCGATCGGGGTAAATCCGTTTATATGTAAATTGTAAAATTTCAGAATGATCTTTCCTTGTACTCCTAAAATGCTGATGATCAGCTTAAAATTTTTTCGGAAAACTCTTACCTACCTCGGTTACACGACAAGGTTTTTTTTAAGATAAGATTTCCTTATTTTCTACCAATCATGGGGTTCTGGGTTGGGATTCGTGTAACCGAGGTAGTATTCTTTTTTTCTTGATGCAGAAAATCTTTCCAATAAAAGAAATCTGATTACTTGTATATATATAAAATGGGGGCTGTTCTAGGAAAACACGGGTTAGAACTGATTTTTTTTTTTTGAGATATTTGCAAAAACAATTTTTCAAAAAAAAGCACCCCATTTTTTGATATGTACTACTATAAT